GCCTGGTCTTCCACGGCTGCAAAGGATTATCCAATCCTGAGCGCCTTTGGCGTGTGCTCTGTTTCTTCGTATAAGAAATACAAAATTCATAAGAATGATTGTCCTTGTGAAACTTATATTCCTCGCTTTTGCACTTTCTTATGCCGTTCCCTAGGCATTCCTTGTAATGACTTGAGTTATGGTGTTTGCAGGGATAGGGTTAATTACCTGAAGAAGTACATTCTAAACAACATCCCTTCCTGCTCAGACCTCCTTACTTCAGATAACCTTTCTGCCCTTTCAGTCCTCGGCAACGCAATGAGTCAGCTCAGGATCCCATCTTTTGGAAGGAAGAAGGACCCCCCAAGGACCACTGATGCTTCTGCTGCTACCTCTTCTCCTGCCTCGGCATCTTCTTCTGCCACTATCTCTTGTACTTCCCCTCCTATCAATCCGACCGTGGTAACTGCGAACCCGGTCATCAACGTTCTGCCTACCAATCCGAGCACAACTTCCTTAGTCAGCAACTCTCCGAGCGCTGCCACTATTGCTACTCGTGAAAAGGAGAGAGGGAAGAGGCCTCTGCCTGAGGGTACATCTAATCCAGATGGTGTCCCTCCAAGCAGAAAGGTTCGCACCTCTGGGCCAAATGCGCTCGTATCTCCACCAACCAGGCCCCCTCCACCCTCTGGGTCTGTCACAGCTAATGCTTCTACCTCTGTAATGGCACCATGGTGTCCTCGGTTTGTCCGAGCGGATGGAACAAGCGTAAAACCGAGCGAGACAATGTTCAGGGATGGTCCTACTGCCATGGCATACTACAGGAGTATGTGGACTCCCAAGGACATTGAAGTGGCCAAAGGCTCAAAAGGAAGTGTTCAGCCGCTTCCCCTTATCTACCATGGAGGTATCTGTTTTCCCTTTTAATCACCAAATATTTTCATAGTCTCTTCCCTTGATCCCTTCTGACCATGCACTTGATTTAACCAGTATTCATGCATATCTCTGCAAACCTTATTCGGTATGATAGCCATGCAGAAGCAAGTGGAGTTGGGGAATGCCAAGGCTCGTAAGTTTTCTGACAACCTTGATGCGGCCAAGAAGGAGAATGAAATCATCAGCGCCAAAAATACCGAGCTGGTGGTTCAGCTTGACAAGGTTAAGAAAGAGAGAGACGCTTTGAAAAAGGAGGCAGACACTTTCCAGGATGAGAAGGACGCTTTGCAAATCAAGAAGAGTGTCTGGCACACTGAGCGTGACTCACTTAAGGCTGAGAAGGGTGAACTTCAGCGCCTGCTTAGTGATGAGCAGACTGCCCGAATGGCTTTCGAGAGGAGGGCCTTGGAAGAGCGTGACGCCCTGCTTAACATTATTGGCAAAGTGTATGGCGATATGATGGCTCTTCATGCACGCTTTTCCAGGGTAGGTGCCCTCAGGTATGCATAGGGTTTCCGAGAGGGTTACACAGACCGCGTTCCTACTGAAGGCCAGACCGGTTCTACTCCGGATGAGGTTGACAAATAGTTGGACATTGATCCTCTAGGAACCTATGTTGATCCAGATTCCACTCCTGCTGAGCATATTTTTGATGAGAGTCAGGAGATTGCTTCTTCCAGGGTCACTCCTACTCCCACCACTGATCAGCCCTTGGACATGCCTCCTCTGTCCACCCTGGTCCCTTCTACAACCACCGTCGAGGTTGAGGCTCAGCAGATTAACTCTGTTATTCAGCTTGACTCTCCTCATCGTGAAGATGGGGTGACCAATGGTGGCAAAGAGACAAGTCAGCTCAACCAGGAGGGTGATGGAACAGAGGCAGCCAGTTAGGGCTCTCCTGTTGCCACAATTTTTTTTTTTTTTTTTTTTTGTATTCATGTCATCTATATACTTCATAGGCTGTAACCTCGAAAATTTCTATTATAAATGAGATGGCAAATTTTTGGCTGAACTTTGTTTCAAAATTTTTTATTTTCTCATTGATTACACCTGCTCGTCAGTAACAACAATTAATTCCATATTCAGTTTCGGCAAGTTTTTGGCGTTCGGCTCATAGTGCCAGCTGCCACTAACTTTCCAGAGTGGTTGGCGCTCGGCTAGAATGCCACTTACCACTGTCACTCTTTATTTTTGGCAAGTTTTTAAAGTTCGGTTTATAGTGCCAGCTGCCACTAACTTTTCAAATTTTCAAACATTCAATTTTTTCATAGGAAGATAGCTCTTTATAGATTTCAAAATTTCGTACATTCATGCGTACACAATTTGAAAATGAACAATGATAAAATTGGAACTCGATTTTCTATTGATAATACCTTTTCAAAGATGTAGCATTCCATGGCTTGTTGACCAGCCTTCCAGCCATGGTTTCTAAGGTGTAAGCTCCCTTTCCTAAGACTTCTACAACTCTATATGGGCCTTCCCAAGGTGCCACCATTTTCTTAACCATTCCTACCTTCTTCTTCAGAACTAGATCACCTGGTGTAAAGTCTCTGTGCTTTACCTTTTTGTTATGGCTATTCATAAGTGTCTGTTGGTAGGATGCGAGCCTTACTGCCGCTGCATCTCTCTTTTCCTCTAACATATCGAGGTTAAACCTCAACATATTGTCGTTATGCTCTCGGCTCCATGCCAAGCTTCAGACAGTCGGAACCAAGTGTTCGACCAGTATAACTGCTTCGGTACCATACGCCATGGCGAATAGGCTTTCTCTGGTCGGTCGCCTTGGGGTCGTTCTATAAGCCCATAATACATTCGGCAATTCATCTAACCATTTTCCTTTCTGATCTTCAAACTTCTTTTTGATGCAAGCAAAGATTGTTCTATTCGTGATTTCTGCTTATCCATTGGCCTGGGGGTGATTTACTGCCGCCAGCTTTTGATTAATTTCATATTCCTCCAACAACTCTCTTACTTGCTTACTGTCAAGGTTGGTCCCATTATCCATGACGATTGACCTCGGAACACCAAAACGGCAAATAATATTACTCCAAATGAACCGTCTCACATGAGTCTGAGTCACGCTCAGGTACGGCTCTGCTTCCACCCACTTAGTAAAGTAATCTATAGCCAACTGCACATATTTGTTCTGAACTCTTGCATTTGGCAGAGGACCAACCACATCCATCCCCCATTGTGCGAAAGGCCATGGTGTAGCTATTGCGTGTAACTCCTCAGGTGGTTGGTGGATCAATGGTCCGTATCTTTGGCATTTGTCACACCTTCTAGTGAACTCTTCCGCATCTCTTAACATGTTTGGCCAGAAATACCCCTGTATCATTGCTTTGTGCGCTAAAGATCTTCCCCCAGAATGATTTCCACATACACCTTCATGAATAGCTCGCAGTATCTGCCGAGCCTCTGCAGGGGTGACACATTCAAGTATGGTCCAGAAAAAGATCTTCTGTACAACTGGTTATGCACTATAGCATACTTTGTAGCATTCGATTTGACCTTCCTAGCCTCTTCCCGTTGCTCAGGCAAAGTACCATCCCGAATGTCCAACTCGGTTCATACGGTATAAGATTCACTTGCCAAGGATCGGAGCCTGTAGGCTCTTCGAAGATGGATGGCTGGCTCAGTATACCTATTGGAATCACCCTTGCCAATTTCTCCCCAGAACTCGAGGCACTGCATGCTAACCGATCGGCCTCGTCGTTATGCTCTCTCGGCAGCCAGATGAATTCAATTTTCTTAAAACTTTTGGCTGCACACAGCACGGCAGAACGATATGCTTCCATTGTTTTGTCCTTGGTCTCATACTCCGCTTCATTGTTGGTGGCTCTGAATTCAAGCCGGAGCGCTTGACTTAGGGACGTGTCTTCTGGTGTCTGCAGTTTGACTCCAATGCCTGCCCCCATCTGATTTGAGGATCCATCAACAAAGAGTTTCCACAAGCAATCATAAAGGTTTTCCTTCATGTCTTATGAATCACATTCTAGTAGAAAATCTGCCACTGCTTGCCCTTTGACTGCCGTTCTGGGTTCATATGTTATGTCAAATGAGCTTAACTCTATGGCCCGCTTTGTCATCCTCCCTAAGAGGTCTGGCTTGTGCAGGATTATTCTGATAGGGAAAGTGATTAGAACGATGATATGATGGGATTCAAAATAATGCCTAAGCTTTCTTTTCGCATGTATTAGCAAGAGTATCACCCGCTCGGCCTTTGAATAACGTCGGTCGGCCTCAGTCATCGTTTTGCTAACATAGAACACTGGATATTGCTTCCCCTCTTTACAACGGATCAGAACGCCACTTGTGGCGATGCTGGATACCCCAAGGTATAAAAATAGCTTCTCTCTTGGTTCCGGAGCTGACAGGACCGGAATGTTCTACATATATTCTTTCAAACCAGTTAATGCTCGGCACTGTTCATCCCCCCAAACTTGTCTCCCATGGCTTCGTATTGTGTCAAAAAATGGTTTGCAGCGATCTAACAGTTTGGAAATGAACCAGCTCAATGCAGCGATCCGTCCCGTAAGTGTTTGCACTTCTTTGATTATCTTCGGCTCGGCATTCTTAGTCAGAGCTTCTGCTTGGGCAGGGCTAGTTTCTATGCCTCTATGATTAACCACGTGTCCCAGGAATTGACCAGAACTCACGCCAAATGAACACTTAGTTGGATTGAGCTTCATTCCATATTATCTCAACACATCAAATACATCTTGTAGATGTTTCAGATGGTCAACTTTCTTCTTACTTTTCACTACCATGTCATCAATGTAAGCTTACACGGTCTTCCCTATTTGACCCTTGAAAATTTTGCTAATAAGCCTTTGGTAAGTTGCTCCGGCGTTCTTCAGACCGAACGGCATAACTTTGTAGCAATAGGTCCCGCGCTCGGTGACAAAAGAAGTTTTCTCTTCATAAGTAGAGTCCATAGGGATCTGATTATAACCTGAATAAGCATCTAAGAAGGTTAAACGCTCATACCCAGTAGTAGCGTCCACCATCTGATCAATTTTTGGCAGCGGAAAGCTATCCTTCGGACAGGCTTTGTTCAAATTGGTGAAATCAATGAACACTCGCTATTTCCCATTCTTTTTCTGCACAACAACAACGTTTGACAACCAGTCAGGATAATACACTTCTCGTATAAATCCCGCATCAAGCAGCCTATCAACCTCCTCGGCTATGATCCGATTACGCTCTGGAGCAAACCTTCGCTGCTTCTGCTTTACAGGTCTTACATTGGGATTAACGTTCAAGGAGTGACAGGATACGGAAAGATTGATTCCAGGCATGTCGAGGTGGCTCTATGCAAATACATCGGCGTTCTGAGACAAGAAATCAACTAACTCCTGTTTCTCCTCCTCAGCAAGTCGTACCCCCACTCTGGTTGTTCGTTCTGGTCAGAACCGATCGATCTGTACATCAACTAGGGGTTCTTCGGTCAAGTCCACTGGCTCCTCCTCCCCACTCTGCTTGGGGGGAGGATCCTGTAATTGCTATCTCGGGCTTGCCGAATGGATGGGTGCTTTCCCTTTTCCAGCATACTTCAGTGTTACTGAATAACATTCCTTAGCTACAACCTGGTCCCCATGAATGTCAATCACCTTGGTTCCGTCTAGCCCCAGGCATCTCATTACTTGGTGCAGAGTGGAAGGAACAGCTTGAACTCTGTGGATCCACCCTCTGCCCATCAGAAGGTTGTAAGAGGAATGAATCTCAACAACTACAAAGCTCTCCATCAGAACCCTCTCTGCAGCATGCACTGCTACTTCCACCATACCGATGGGCTCCACTAATTTCCATCAAACCCTAGCAAAGGATTCACAGTGGGCTTGAGCCGGTCTGGCTTGATCTCGAGCCGATCAAATGTGTCCCTCGGCATAACGTTCACACTACTTCCAGGATCAATCAGAACTCTGCGAACCAAACATTCGGCCACTGTCAAACTGACGACTAACAGGGCCTCATGAGGGATCTGAATACACAATAGATCTGTTCTGTCAAACTTTATCTATGTTGATGCGCTCTGTTGGTGCAGAGTGTTTACACTGCTTATCCTCCTCTTCATCTGCGCCTGGCGGAGCCGTGTTCGAAGTAGTTCATTTGACTCTTCACGTTCAGGTCGGCCATGAATTGCGTTGATTATTCAAACTGGTTGCGAGTTGTGGGAGTTCGACTTCTGATTTCTCTTCACTTGCTCTGCCGATCAGCTCTGCTCTACCGCCGGGCCTTGAATATAACTGGCAAACTCCCCTCCGGTTATCAACATCTCCACCTGCCTCCTTAAGTTCCTGTATTCGTTAGTCTGATGGCCAAAATCAAAATGGAAAGCGCAATGCTTAGACTTACCTCTCTGCTCCAGGGGTTGTCTGATAGGTAAAGGAGATCGGAACTTATCTTTGTTTTCTTGGTACAGCCTTGCTGGAGTTACTTTCAATGGAGTGACCAATTCCTCTTCCCTGGGCCTTTTTTCCGCTGTCCAAGGGATCTGCCACTGCGATGGAGCTGGTTTCTGCCTAATCTTGGCTTTGGACTTTTCCTCCGTTGATATAATTAACGTTTTCCTCGCATTAGCTGCCTCTTCCTCTTCCAAACGAACAAATCCATCAACTCTTTCGTTCAGCTCGTCCATGGTCTGTGGCGTGTTCACCACCAGACTTTCGTGGAACGGGGTCCCACGAATCATGGCCAACTTGAATGCTTGAACCGCCGTGGACGGATGGCCCTCGATCACCATGCTCTTGGTTAAATTGAATCTGGTAAGAAAGGCTTGGAGGCGTTCATCTTCATGCTACCGCATTATGAACAAACTGGAGACATCTTTTGCCGGGCGCTTATTCCCATATTACTGGCTAATGAACCGATTGCAAAGGCTTCGGAAGCTATCAATCGATCCCCTTGGTAAGTTTTTGAACCAATTAAGTGCTGGTCCAACTAAGCTTGTTGGAAAACATTTGCACATTAAGGAGTCGTTCTCCGTGTTCAGAGCCATTTTCAATTGGATATGATACACATGATCGATCGGGTCAGTAGTTCAGTCAAACAGGATGAAAACTGGCATGGAGAATTTCCTCGAACTTGGAGAATTCAGAATTTCATCGGTAAACGGCAAGTCAACCGTCCGAGCTACTGAACGAAGGGCCTCATTCTCTCTATGGAACCTTACGGTAACTCTCTGATCCGTAGATCTCCTTTCTGAGCTTCGGTAGTCTAACGTAGCCATTAAAGGTCGATAAAGTGAATCGGATGATCTTTCCTCCATGTATTCCTTCTGCCAAATAGGTGTGGTTTTGTGAGGTCCAAACTCCACAGCTTCTTCTCGGTTGAACCACTCCTGATTCGAATCAAAAGTCATTGCCGCGTTCCGCCTGATCTGCTCACGCCGTGGATCTAAGTGAATTGAGCCTTCTCGGTCATCAAAGTGGCGAGGATTTGGCGGCAAATCGTCCGGCCTAGCCTCCTCGTGACGGGTATTTGGCAGGTTGTTCTCTTCCTCTTCACCTTAACGTGCAACAACAGGATGCATAACCTCCTCACCCACCGGAGGCGGTTGCAGAACCGCCGAAGCTTCTTGGCGCTGCATTCCAGCTTTCAACTCTGTATTCTCTCTCCTAAGAACTTCGATCATATTCATCAACTCATCAAGCTTCATCTGCTGGACATTCTCCACCGGATTGGAGCTCTCGCCTTCTATCATGATTCCAGAGCGAAGCAAAGGCATGAATCACAAGATCTTAATCAGATCTGAGCTTTACCGATGCAAATCTCGTCGGATCTGGACTCTGATTCACTGAATCGCGATCACGGCTCGCTAGATCCGAGCTTTTCTAGCTTTTAACTCACCGGATCTAGCTGCGATCAAGCAAATCTCAGCTGCGTTATTCCGACGCAAACACGTCAAAACCAATAGTAATCAAGAATTCCTTCAGAAAAAACTGCAATCTCTCCGATCTGGATTCAATTTCCAGAAATTTTGCTTCGTCCTCACGGATCAGTTTAAATTAACATGGCTTCGATCAAAGCATGAATGAATGTTCTTCATCGTTTCCCACAGACGGCGCCAATTGTAAATGCAAGAAAATATCACTCCTCATTTCTCTATTATCTCTTTCTACAATCTTTCTCTCCCCCCTTTTTCTATATCTTCTATGCCTATTTATAGGCAATTACAAGTGTTATAACTAACTTCTTATGTTGGACTCTCAGTCTTCAGGCCTTCTTCCTTTTGGGCTTGACTCAATCCGGTGGATCTCCGGTGTTGGGCCTGTGGCAATAGTCTTCGAGCTTGGGCTTGAACTTGCTGCCCAACCTGATGCTCTTGTCTTGGGTCAGACCCGGCCCACTCTACCTTCGGTATCCTCAGAGATGTTTCTTCGAGTTTAAAACCCTTATAAACTCATTTGGGATCATTTCGGTCAGTTTCGATTTTCATGCCCGGGAGGTGCTAGGTGGATCCCTCGGCAGATTTCCGTGTTCGGAAATTTTTTGATGCCACTGTGTTCTTCGTTTATGTTAGTTTTATCCGTTTTGCACTATGTTGAGTCATTTGCGACTTTCTGGAGCTCAAACGGGCCGTTTTAAGCTTTACAGAGGGAGGCGGGACCCGCGGCATGTTACTTACTATATATAAGAGGCTTATATCATTTAGCCTCATTTTCTTTTCTTTCTTCTCTTCTCTCACGGCCCTGCTCTCTCTCTCTCTCTCTCTCCTGGTTTCTTTTCCTTTTTCTTTTCTTTTTCATTTCTAAGCTTCAAGCTTAGATCTGATCTAGTTCGGGTAGGAATTTGTTGACGCCGTAGAAGGGAAAAGTGACGAGCTCGACAAGAGCTACGCAACCATGGTTTCAGAATTTAGTTATGAGCATTTTGGGGGTTTGGGCTGAGGGTGAAGCTCGGCTTTTGGAGGCGCCGTAGGAGGACTTTTTTCTCTCCTTTGTCTCCTCTTTCATCCTGTGGAGTTGGTTTCGCAAGAGGAGCATTTTGGGCTTGGAGGAATTAGGATTATCACCCTGATTTGAGGTAGGGGTGTCTAATTCATGGAGTCCTTGGTATTTTGTGAGTCCTTGTGTGTTGTTTTGTTGATATAGCATGTCATGGTTACCTTATTGTAGTGATTTCATCATTTATATGGAAGATTCATGTCACTACCATGCCTTAGATGAAGCTTAATTATGTAAATTGCATGTTATCAATGTGATAATGTGATATTTAAGCTTTACATGATATGTTTGTGATAATAACATGCTTAACACGGATGAATTGCAAGCATGCTTCAATAATGTGATTTATTTCACATTGTATGTTTGATTAGAAATTTCATGATAAAAGTGATTTAAATGATAAAGTAGTGTGTTCATGTTTAAAATGGTTAATTGTTGTCTTAAGCATGCTTGGTGGTTGTTAAAAGGGAAAAACCCGAAATGACAACATTCCAAAAATTAGGTGCAAGTAAAACACCCACTAAATTAATCCAAACAAGACAGACATGTGGCGTTTTTGTATTTGTTGGATGGAATCTTAGAAATTCATGAGGAAAACAATTGTTGAGGATCCATTCCAAATGATATATACTTGAAATTCCCCAATCTTTTTATTATAGTGGTAGGAAATGAATTTTCAAATATACCCTTTTATAGTTGATCCAGGTATGGAGGGTAAATTTGGAATATTAAAAAAATAATATATTGGAATTTGAATTGAGACAATTATTTTGGGATAACCAAAAATAGAAAGGTGGACATGTTTTGTGGGACGGTGGGAGTAAAATTCATAGTTACGAGTGAAACCAATGATCATTGTAGTTAAAAGTCAACCAGACAGACATTAAAGTATTAGCTAATTAGTATCTCACCTAAAAATGTTAAATTTTTAGTTAAAGTATACTCTTGAACGTAACACTCCAACAACTAGTGACTATATATTTTAATGTGTAAAATGATAGAATGTCATAGATTGTAAATTATCTTTCGATTTTACTAAAATAATCTAAAATCTATTATTATGAAAATTAATATGTATTAACTAATAACATAACAAGTACGCATTATTTAGCTTATATAGCATTACTACTATAAAGATTCATTTCCTTAATTTAATTCTTTTGTTTCATTCAAGAATCAAATACGATAGTGAAGGCTACAAATTGTAGAATAGAAATCAAGGAAAACGGTTCTTCATTTGATACAACACTCAACACATTGGAAGTGAGATTTTCTGTAGTTTGTAATCATGAAATTGGAACCCACAAGAGATCTAAAATTCTAAACAACATAATCCATTCATATTATTTTTCTCAAGTGGCTTAAACAGTCCAATACTCTCCGGATATCAAATGTAACTAAATACAACAAATACAATCCGGATTTTCAAGGCATGGAAGCTTCAATATAATAAATAAAGACACATACCAAATGTTGATGAATGAATTCGAAGCGATCTGGAACAGTGTCGTATCTGAAATAAAAAAAAGAGAAAGTAATCGGAGGGGCACCAGTGTGGTACCGGCCTAAGGGTCTCCGGCAGTCAAGTTAGTTCTTGACAATAAATAAGGAGGAGGAAAAACAGTTGAGAAGGGAATTGTCTTGTAACTTGGTAGGTCGAAGTACTGGCCCCTTATTTATAGATGTTACATCGGTGGTAGCATTCACCTCGGAATTGACTCCTTTTCTTTTCCAACAAGGAAAGGAAAGCCTTCATTTATCCTTCAGTTATTGTGGTTTATCCTACCTCTTAGCTTCCGTGACAGTCAGACTTCCTCTTGAACTGAAGGTTACATATT